AATATGGTGCACACCTGTAATCCCAGCACTTTGGGAGGCTGAGGCAGGAGGTTCATAAATGCAAGTCCCAGCCTAGGCAACTTAGTGACTTCATGAGACCCTGTCTCAAAAGTAAAAAACATAAAAGGTCTTAGGAATATAGCTCCGCACAAAATACCTAGGTTCAATCCCTAGTACCATGCTACTGCCCCAAGAATTAAGTTTATAGAGAAAGTTTAGAATGACATACTTTTTCATAGTTCTAATGTGCTAGTAAGAACTACTGTCCATTTTGCAAATGAGAAAAGAACCAAAAGCAGGAGGGGGACATAGAAAGAATGTGTCACAAACTTGTACTGTACCAACTCCCCAGGACAAATGTGATCATTATGTACTACAAACATACAGAAATAAAATGGGCATTAGTAGATTCCCATAGCCAGCTTTGTTCAAGATAAAGGGATGAGTCTTTCAATTCTAGATGTTTATGCATAAATTTGGGAAAGTTCCAGCTCTTCTCTTACCTTCTTCCAAGCAATGGTTTTGTCATTCATCCTGAATGGTCACTTTCCTTATAGGGTCTACCGTTTCATTGGAACTGCTTGGGAGAATGATTTCATGTGTGAGTGATGTCTTCTCTAATAACTAACATTTCTTGAACACTCACAGTATGCCAAGCACCATCACAATGATCCCACACAATAATCAGGTAAGTCCGGTACATTTCTTTTTTTTTTTTTTTTTGGTTTTGGTTTTGGTTTTTCTCCGGTACTGGGAACCAAACTCACGACCTTGCGCATGCCAGGCAGGCGCTTTTGCCGCTGAGCTAAATCCCCAGCCCCAGTCCGGTACATTTCTTATCTCCAATTTAAAGATGAAGAAACAGGTCCAGCAGGTTACCTGAACTCAGGTGCCATTCTTCCTTGCCCTTAGAGAATGTGTATTTTGAGCACTACCCTTTAAATCTTGAAGACAATAATGCCCAGCTCACTTTGCTGTTACATGGGTCAAGGAAGATAAGGTAGTTGGCTGTGAAGGTTAAAGTGGCTGGTAGGAAGCCTTCTGTGCGTGATGGAAGGGTCATTTGGAGAATTTAAGGCAAAAGTATGTGAATGTACAATGCGTATGTTGTTTGGCAAATGCTTTTATTCTGTTGCACTTTGGTCAATTATAAAGTTTTGGAGGTCAGATCACAGAATTGATCAATGATGACACCAACCTGACTTTCTCTAGACAAAACTGGGTAAAGAAAATAGCTAATGTTTTTCTAATATGGCATAGCCTGGTGTATCAGAATGGACTACAGAGTGAGCTAAAATGTAGATTCTGGGGACCACTCCTTTGCCCCACCTTTGCTCCTCACCTACTGGTGGGTTAGACTTTGGCTTTATATGCAAGCTCAAGTAATTCCTACATCCCCCAATTTAAGAGCAACTGTAGGTCTGACTGCAAAGTTCACCTCCCATCAAGCAAATGTATGTAAATATATATACATATAGATAAACTCATAAGGAAGCAATGATGTCTATTTGTTTTTTTTTTTCACCAGAGCCCCAGCAGGACAAGGGTCATTGAACATATATTTTTTGTGATATCCATGGCATGAGGAATGCCATACCCATGCAGAAGCCTACAGTAATCCAACTTGTACAAAAGTTGTGACAAAATGAACTTCAGAGAATTATCTAAAAATTGAAATCTCATGAGAGAAGTTTCCAATCAGTGGTAGTTTCCAACTAAAATCACTTTTGAGTCTTCAGAAAAAAATTCATAGGGCTAAGGGTGTAGGTCAGTGGATGAGTACCTGCTCCGCGTGCACAGCACTCTGCACCCAACTCCCAGAACATTAAAAACAAATCATGTATCTGAGTTGCATCAGAGACCAACTGAACTAGATTGGCTTAGGATCAAAAGCCAAGCAATTATATGCTCAATTTTTCTAATTATCTCCCTGGTTAGACATAACTGATAAAATCAGATGTGGTGGTACATAATTGTAATCCCAGCACCCAGGAAGCTGAGGCAGGATTTCGAGTTCAATCCCAGCCTGTGCAATTTAGTGATTTAGAGAAAATGTCTCAAAATAAAAAATAAGAAGGGCTGGGAATGTAGCTCAGTGCAAAGACTCTCACTTCAGTTTAATTGAGAGACAGAGAGAGAGAGAGAGATGATAACCATGTGAGTCACCAATATGAAATATATTTGTCCTACTTCCAAGGTAATACTGATCTGATTTTTTTCAACAAAACCAAGTTGTCAAGTGGGTAGGTGGTCAACGTGGCTCACAAACTGTTAGACCCTACTTGTTAATACAATATAACCACAGCTTTCAAGATTTATTGCTTAATTTATGCTACAAAGAACCCAGGGACACCAACTTTCAGTATGCTCAATAGAGTCAGCTATGCTCACAGCTGGATACGATGATGAAAGTACACTAACATTACAGACAGCTAAGTTAGGTAGAAATGTTATAAGCCATCAGGCAGGGCTGGGCCCTCGAGAAAGTCAGTGCAGATGATGAGAGCACATTACAACTGTTCCTGGAGGCGCATCTGCTGAAGGCCAGACCTCAAGATAAAGACAGAATGACCAGGCCTGCTGCCTCCCCAAAGGATAAGCATTAAATTAAAGATTATACTCTAATGGGTAGCACTTGACCCAATAAAGTCTAGATAGACAGCAGTCACCCAGGTGGGTGATCAGGACCTCCTGATCCATCTCTTTCTAAAAAAGTCCTTGTCCTTCACATGTACCCTTGCTACGTGACCTGCTTTCCCACTGGATCAATATTACTAAGCAGCTAGCTCTACTTGTAATCTTATTGGTTGATCAGAGTTTTGAACCACATCGTACCCACCTCGTGATTTTGCTCTATAAAACTTCCTTTGAGAAGTGGGCTTGTTGGAAACCCACTTTTGGGTCCCTTCCCGTCTCTCAGGGGCTATCTCAGTAATTTTTTCCTCCTCTTAACCTCTGCTGTTCCTCACAATTCATTCTTTGATTCTGGGAAACACAAACTCAGTGTATCTGACATCTAGCAGGTTGGGAGTTGCGTTTATTCCCCATATATCACTAGCACAAGCATGTACACATACATGCACACACTCCCACAGTGTTAGGTTTTGTCTTTTTCCTGTTATTTCATCATTCTTGAACTCTCTGCTCTCCTTTCTGTTACCTGTAAAAGCTTTGACCAGCTGATTCAAGGCCTCCCACCCAGGTGATGACATCAAGCCTAGAAAAGGTAAATGGCTTGCAAAGTTTCGCTCAGCTGACAAGGAGACCCTCGTGAAGGCTTCATCCTGCAGGGGATCTCAGCTACCCCTCCTCTCACCTGGACAGAACTTACAAAAAGAAACTTTGAAGCCGGGCCTGGTGGCGCACACCTATAATCCCAGCACTCGGGAAGCTGAGGCAGGAGGATCATTGTGAGTTCGAGACCAGCCTGGGCTACAAAGTGAACTCAAGGCCAGCCTGAACTGCATAGTGAGACCCTGTCTCAAAAAGACCAAAGAAAAGAACAGAAAAAAACTTCGTTCTCTAACTATGTGCCAAGGAGGACATTATTTCAATTATCTTTTGACCCTTTCTAGAAGCCAAAGCAATCAGATTTTTACTGTGTTTATTAAAAAATACAAGTGGTGACTAATTAGAAAACATTTAAAATGTTTTATCATCTCCAAGCAAAGTTGTTTGCTAGAAAGCAGTGTTTTCAAATCCCTTTAATATATCAATTACCATTTGCTTGTACTTTGATAGATTTACAAACAATCCTTATTTTTAAAATCTCTTTCAAACAAATCTTGGGCAGCCTCTTCCTGTTTCTCTTGAGCTCAGAATGGCAGTATTATTTCCATTTGTTTAGTTAGGTTTAGTTACCTTATCTGACACAGCCAGAGGATCCAGCATTGTTTTTCAAGTCTTGTGCATCTGGTTTCTAATTTGACAAGGTATCAACAATTGGAAGTAACTGCTTCCCTTGCCCCAAGGGCTCCCCTAAAAATCTGAGGCACGATGTATTTTAAAGCACAAGCGGCTAATGCACTGTGTTGTAAACATATTTTCATGAATCCAGTGTAGAACTCAAAAGCATGTTACAAATCACTACACTCAAATTTCCCCCCAAGAGTAGAGTGTGATTTGCTCAAGGAATCATGGCACATTCATAGCATAAGGAAAGGGACGTCTGGAGGGCTGGCCCCATTTATGTCACCGTCTCAGCAAATTTATGCTTAAATAGTTCCAAGGAGGTGAGAGTGATGGTGGATGAATATTAATGCAGAGTCCAAACTCTGACTCCAGAAGTTGAGTTGGCATATGATATGAACAGTAAAAAGGAACATAAAAATCTTCTACCATTCTCTTTAAAGATAGAAATCACTATTATATAATATTATATCAATATCATTATATAACTATGTTATATCATGTACCATAATATTAATTTTAGAGATACACAAAGCACAGCACATAGACCATACATAACCCTGAGTTAAAATGCTTGGGACTACACTTTGCTATGTCAGATTTTTCTCATGGAGTCATCACAAATACAGGACCTGGGATTTGAGCAGTGCAGCTGAGTCAGCAGAAATCAAGAGCCAGGAGGCAATTACCTAAAGGGCAGCTGAGCCATAGCCGCCCACATACCTCGGCCACACCCAGCACTGCACTTCTCCCTCCTGGGTTCCTCTCGGGGAAGCACGTGTGTCCCTCACTAGACTTTGAGCTTCTGAAGGGCAGGAACCATGCATTTGCGATTCATCTTCCCACTTGCTGCACCTAGCACACTGCCTGGCACATAGCAGCAAATAAATGAAGGAAGGAATGACTGATGACCTTATGTGATTCCTGGGTTTTCACACAGATCTATTACAGGGAGCGAGGGGTGCTCTCCTCTCAAAGACAATAGGAAAATATATGTTCTAGTAAAAGCAAAGAGCCTTGCACAATGCAAGTGATGCAGCAAGTGTAATTAAATGATTAAAGAGTAGAGAGGCATAAAGTTACCCACTTACTTGCAAGCAAGCCAACTCCACTTGCCAGGGACCCGACCCAAGCTGTTTTTCCTTTCCCTTCACCGAAGGCATCCAGCCACTCTATATATAAGACTCCAACCGCCAGCGGGGACCCGTAACACAAAAACTGAGTGAAGAAGGACACGAACACAATCACCCAGCCCCATCCGCCGTCGGGTGACTTCTTACGTTCCATCGTACGGTGACGTTAAGGCGGGGTTCTCTGCAGGTCCTAAAAACACAAACAGAACAGAAACGAAACGCACATTAGAGTGTGGTGACACTGTACTTTGGACTAAAATATCTCCTCCCAAATTAAATAAATAAAAACTCTCTAAACGCACACATGGACAAAGGACCACTGACATATCAAGTTAACTTCAGAAATATCATTTATGATCTCTACAAATCAGGCAGCTACTAGTACAAAAGAAGATTTTTTTTAATTGTAAAAAAGACATAGAGTGAAATGTCTACTTCTTCACCAGGTTCCCATCTCTTCCCAACCACCGGGGAGTCACTACTTTTAGTTTCTCAGTTCTTAGTTTCTTGGGCTCCCCAGGAGGAGACCTCTGGGAAGAAGCAGATTTCATAGGAGTGCTCTGGGTCAGTGTCTGTGGTAGGGAACACTCTCAGAGGGGGAAAATAAGTTGCCATGCTGCTGGAAAGGAAGGGGTTCACAACTTGTAATAGCTACATCTTGGGGGCAGCCTATATGTTCATCAACAGAAGAATGAATAAAGAAAAATGTGGCATTTATATGTAATGGAGTACTACTCTACCATAAACAAGGATCAATTTGAGGTATGTGTAAGAAAATGGATGTACCCTGAGACCATAATGTTAGGTGAAATAAATCAGACATGGAAGCTTAAATATTGCATTGTTTCTCTTATATGACTATCTCAAAGTATAAATAATTTAAAGAGCAAAATAGAAGATAGATAATAGGGAGAAAAATGAAGGCGCTTCTAATGTTCCTGAGATGTTTGCAGGCTGCCCCTCGTGCTGCCATGCTGACCCCTCCCTGGATACAGGTCACCCCACGAAGGGTGTTGACCTCCAAGGGTGCAGCTCCCTTCAAAAGAAGCCATCTGGGTCCAGAAAGGTGGTCAGCTGTAGGCCATCTGCCAACATCACACTAGCAGCAGGGCCAAGGCACCTGCACTCCTAAAAAAAACTGAAGGGAGCTGGCAGCAACCACGTTCCCCAACCCAAGCGTCCTTCCAAAGGTTCCTCACACACTTACGGCAGAACTGGAAAGGTATTCTTAGAGTTCCTCTTTTTCTACAAAAGGGAGCATATTGTACATTATATTCTGCACTTAGCATCCTCAGAGATTTTCTTCTCTCAATACACAGGAAACATCTTTAGTCTTTATTTCATTTAATCAGTGCAGTACATGGTATCTCACCTTATGGTTACATGCTTTCTTGTTTATTGATCTACTTATTGAATAGGCTGACTGTTTGCCTGGTTCAAAAATGAAAAGGGGGTAGGGATGTAGTTCAGTGATAGAGCGCTTGCCTAAAATCTGCGAGACCCAGGCTTTAAATTCCGTACCACAGAAGAAGGAGGCGGCAGAGATATATTCCGTACCACAGAAGAAGGAGGCGGTCCGCTATCTACCCTTTTCCCACCTAATCCTTATCTCCTCCATAGGGAACAGAATTCGCTTTTTAAATATATCATTTTACAGTTTCTTTATGAATATGCCAGCAAACTCTATAGATTTCCTCTATTTTTTACATAAAAATATGGCATATTGTACACGCTGGTATCTGCCTATTTTCATATGAGAAACACCTTGAAGCTCTTTCACATCAATGCATGCCATCTTCCTTGTTCTCCTCTTACTGTTCCACTGAATTCCAGTATAGGGCTTTCTCTTAACTTGTCTAACCAGTCTCCTATGGCTGACAAGGAACAGCAAATCTGCTGTAAAGAACCTTACACACATAAATATCTGTCCTGCTGATGTGCATATCTATTAAGTGATAAAGGAACAGCTGAGTCAAAGGGAGGGTACTTTTGTAACTGCTACTGATATTACCCAGTTAAAGAGATCAAATCAGTTTATCCCCAGCAATTTGAAAGTGTTGTGAAACTTTTGGATTTTTGACAATTTGTCAACTTTAAAACAGTATTACAAACTAGGCATGGCAGCCTACACCTGCAGCCCCAGCACTCTGGGAGGCTGAGGCAGGAAGATTGCAATTTAAGCCACGCTGGATAATTTAGTGACTTAGAGAGACCCTGTCTCAAAAAAAAAAGAAAGAAAGAAGTCTGTGGATGTAACTCAGTGTGAAGTGCTTGTGTTCAATTCTTAGTAACACACACACACACACACGGATTTTATTGTGATTTTAACTTGCATTTCTCACAGTATAAATGTTATATGTTGTTTCATGAGCAAAAAGCTGTGTGGAATTCCTGTCTAATTACTGGTTATGTTTGATTATGTTTCTAGTATGTTTCCATATGTTTCTACTCTGCTCCTTTGGTTTGTTTATTCATATACCATTACCAGATTAATTTCATTACTAAGCCTTTTTATAAAAGTTTTTAAAATATATTTCAATCTCAAGTGGAAATAAATTTCTTCTCTATCTTTCCATCAGGGTACTTCTTTTCAATATTTTTCTAGCTATTCTTGTTTACTGTTTTATATGAGCTTCAGAATTGACTTTTCTGCTTCAAAAAGGATTCTTACAGTGTTTTCATTAGGATTCAGTTAAATTTAAAAATAAATTTAAGAGCCACATGGGGCGGCACATGCCTGCAATCCCAGCTACTTGGTAGGCTGAGACAGGAGGATTTCTGCAATGCTCAGCAATATCCCCTGTCCTTTTTATTTTTTGTTTTGAGATACCATCTTGCTATGTTGCCCAGGCTGGCCTCAAACCTGGGATTCTCCTACTTAGCCTCCCAAGCGGCTGGGGTTATAGATATGTGCCATCACACCTAGCTATGTTGAATCTTTTAAGAATATGGTATGGTTTATATTTGTGCAAATCTCTTTTTCTGTTCTTAGTATTTAAATTTTTCATTTACTGCCCCTTGATGTATTTTATCATTTTTACTAATCTGTGTGTGTGTGTGCACACGTGTGTGGTACTGGGGACTGAACCCAGGAACTTCACACTGAGCTAAATGCCAAGCAGTTCCTCTTTTTTTCCAGTGCATTTGGAGACCCCAGGTCTGATCTCTGGGTCTACATCTGCTACTTACCCTGTAATGGCTCTACCATGACAGGCTCAGAGTTACCTTCAACAGGTTTGCCAAGCCATTCGCTTGGCTGTTGTTTTATCAGATAATGGGTGAAGACAGTAAGAAGACCGTTCGTTCATCCACGCACTTCCCTAATTAGATGACAACGCATTTGGCTCCTTAGGAGTCATGGCCATGCCCTCATTTACCTGTACTGAATGTCTTCACTTGGAATTCACAGTGCTAGGCGAAACACATCACCACTTCCGAATGGCCCTGTGTACAAATTAGCTTTCAATATTTAATAACTAAAAATGGAAAGACAGTATAATTTGTGTATAAAACTTTAAAATCTAAAATCCCAATGCTCGAACAACATGATTGTGTTGATAGAACAATTAAAATTTCCAGGCACAGTATAGCAGAAAATGCCCCCCAGTCAGTATGCTTCAGTCTGTTATTGCCAGGTAATAGTTCCTGTTCCAGTTCTGGTTGCTCCTGTCTCTTAGAAACGGTCGGTTATTGTGATGTATAGCTGCTCACTATGATGCACATTGTATAAACCAATCCCCAGTTGACAAGCCATTCTGCCTCTGGACTTTCTGCTTGCTTATCTCATATAAGTCCTAGACCATGAGAGATCAGGGCCTGATATTCTGGGAATGATCTCAATCAGTGCCTGCTGACATGAATAAATTTGCCTCCAAATCCTGGGTGTCATTTCAGTGTTTCTGCTTGCCGTTGCAATAGAAACCCTTTGAAATAATCAGGTATATGTCTCCACCGGAAGTGTACTCTCTCTAGTGACTACTCTGTTATAAAGGTAATCAGTGAAATCTGATCCTTTGTTATGGTTTGGGTCTCAATAGCTCCCCAAATCCTCATTCAGTCATAGGTGGGGCTTTTTCAGAGGTGGCTGGATCTAGAGTGTGTGATGCTGGGATTAAGCGTGTGTGATTACTAAATCAGTCCACTGATTGGTTTGGCACTGCCTAATCCCAGGAGCCTGAACAAAATATAAGGGACAGAAAGAGGCTTGTCTCGTCCCTTGTTTTGCTACCTTCTGCTCACCATGATCTGTTTCTCCTTTGCAATTCCTGTCTGCCATTCCCACCCTGCCTTGGAGCCAGCTGATTATGGACTGAAACCTCTACAACCTGTGAGCTAAATAAGCCTTTCCTCCCTTAATTTGTGGGTATTGGGCATTTCTTCTCAGCAAGGAGAAAAGTTACTAACACATCCTTCTAAGGACAATTTAGTGATTTATAATTCCTGTTCAGATACCCTTTAAGGAAAATGTAGTCTGAGTTCTCCAACTAGATAATATATGACAGAAAGAGCCAACCATCTAATGACTCTGACAGGATGTATGAAGACAGGTGTAGATGTGACTGTTCTTCATCAAATCCTCAAATTACAACATGAAAAGCGGGCAAGACATAGGCGGAGCAGTAGAATCGGGGAGAAGAAAGCCAGTATTTCCTGGGAGGTGAGAGTGAGGAGGATTAATTATCTTCCTTGTCAATTTTCAAACATAAAAGTAGACAGTTCAACATCCCTGGTCATTCAAGAGATGCAAATTAAAACAACAATGAGATTCCATCTCACCCGGGAAAGAATGACTATCATCAAGAAATCAACCAGTAACAGATGCTGGAGGGGCTGTGGGGAGAAAGGATCCTACTCCACTGTTGGTGGGAGTGCAAACTGGTGCAACCACTGTGGAAATCAGTGTGGAGATTCCTCAAAAAAACTATGATTGGTGGTCCCATTTAACCCAGATATTCCCTTTCTGGATATCTTCCCAGCAGAATTAAAAACATTGTACCACAGAGATATAAGTGCACCCACGTTTATAGCAAGAACAATTTGTAATAGCTAGATCTAGGAAACAACCCAAATGCCCATCAACTGAGGAATGGATAAAAAAGATGTGGTCATTTTATATAATGGAGTATCATTCAGCTATAAAGAAGGATAAACTGGAGACTTTTATATGTAAATGGATGCAACTCAGACCAT